CTCCTTCGATCATGAAAGTATATCCTACAGTACTCTTCCTTTCATCTTGATCTCCACTGAAGTCTGAGTCAGTGTATCCATGAACTTCGACATCTATGTTGTTCTTCGACTTCTTTGGTAACAACACACCATGACCAATAGTTCCCTTTATATATCTCAACACCCTCTTCACTGCGATGAGATGACATCCCTGAGGCTTCTCCATAAATCTGCTCAACAATCCTACACTTTGACAGATATCTGGTCTAGTATTGCAAAGATACCTCAAGGATCCAATGATTTGTTTGTAAAGGGTCTAACTTACAAACTCATCATTTGATTCCTTCTTCAGCTTTGCTCCAGTCTCTAATGGAGTAACAACTGCCTTACAATTGCTCATATTGAACCTCTTCAGTATATCTTGAGCATACTTCGTTTGATGCAAGAAAACTCCTTCTTTGACGTCTTTGAATTCCATTCCCAGGAAATTGGAGAGATTCCCTAAATCATACATTTCGAATTCCTGCATTAACCTTGACTTTACCTTTATTATCTCAGCTTCGTCTGCTCATGTAATGAGTAAGTCATCAACATAGAAGCATAAAATGATTCGATTGACACTTTCGACATCATTTACATACACTCCATGTTTAGAGACACACTTTGTGAAACCTGCTTCGATTAGGAAGCTATTTATCCTTTTATTCCAAGCTCTAGGATCTTTCTTTAAACCATAGAGAGCCTTCCTTAATCTGTAAAATTTAGACTCCTGCCCTTTGACGTCGAAGCCTGGTGGTTGAGTAACATAGAATTCTTCTTCCAATGGACCATTCAAAAATGTTGACTTCACATCAAGTTTGTGCATTTTCCATCCCCTACATGCAGCTATCGAAATAACAATCCTGATTGTTTCCATCCTAGCAATAGGTGCATATACTTCATCGAAGTCAATACCTGGTTGTTATAGAAAACCTCTGGCCACTAGTCTTGCCTTGTACTTTGCAATCTCACCATTTGGACTTCGTTTCACCTTGTAGATCCATTTCACATCAATTGGTTTCTTGTTGGTTCTTTCGACAAGCTCCCAAGTGTTGTTCTTCTTAATGGCTCTAAGTTCTTCTTTCATGGCTTCACACCAATTTGAATTGCTCAAGGCTTCACCCAAATCAATTGGTCCTGCTTCATCCATCATCATAGCTTCTTAAATTAAGTCACCATCAACATCAATTGCTTGATCTGGAAACCTCTCATATCCAATCATCCTAGTCAACTCAGTTCTTGTTCTTGTGGATCTTCTTTCATTTTGCACAGGTGGTTCTTCATTTCGATCAGTCGAAGTATCACCTTGTTCATTTTGACTTGTCGAAGCTTCGTTCTTTTCATCTTCTTCGAACACAGTTCTGACTGTGTCTGATTCTTGTCAAACTGAACTTCGACTCCAATCCCATCCTTTGCTTTCGTCTACAAGAACATCTCTACTGATCACTAGTTTATCTTCAATTGGTAAATACAACTTGTATGCACTAGTCGAATGATAACCAATGAGCACCATGACTTCACTTTGATCATCCTGCTTCTTTCTCAATTTTCCAGGTACATGCCTGAAATACATTGATCCAAAAATTATAAGATGACTTACATTTGGCTTCGAACCTGTCCAAGCCTCATGCGGTGTCTTTTCGACCATCTTCTTTGTTGGGCATCTATTTAGAATGTATATTGCTGTCGAAGCTACTTCAACCCAAAATCTCTTAGGCATATTCTTAACTTTCAACATACATCTCGTCATGTTCAGTACACTTATATTATTTCTCTCAGCTATGCCATTATGCTAAGGCGTATAGGGTGCAATAACCTCATGCTCTATACCTTCCTCATTGCAAAATCTAGAAAATTCAACAGAAGTATATTCGCCACCACCACCAGTTCTTAACTTCTTCAATTTGAAACCACTTTGTTTCTCAGCATGCAACTTGAACTTCTTGAACTGTGTGAATACCTCACTCTTCCTCTCAATAATTTAAATCCGCATATGTCTGGTGAATTCATCAATGAAAGTAAGGAAATACATGTTACCTCTATTGGACTTTACTTCAAAGGGTCCACACACATCTGAATGAACCAGCTCTAGTTTTTGCCTTGATTTTATAGGCAAATCACGTTTGAACGCCTTCCATGTCTGCTTAGCTTTGCAGCATTCCTCACATATCTGCTTTAGTTCCTTCACATACGACAACCCAAGCACCATTCTTTTCTTATTGAGCATACATAAATTCTTGAAGTTTAGATGTCCATACATGTGATGCCATAGCCAGTTCTTGTCTTCTTCTATAGTCAAAGCAAGACATTTGTGATCTGATGTGTTGAGTTCAACCCTAGATGTTTTATTCTCCGCCAATGGTGCTTTCATTATTAGCCTCCTATCAGCCTTATATACCTTCATCTGATTATTCTCCAATTTCATATTGAAGCCTTTTGCAAGTAATTGACCTACACTTATCAAGTTACTTGTCATCGAAGGTACATATATAACTTCAGTGATAGTAGCCTTTCGACCATCATTTTTGATAATCGAAATATCTCCTTTACCACCTGACTTGATATGCTTGCCACCTGCAAATATCACCTTTTCGATTGACTCATCTAACTTGGTAAACCAGTTTTTATTGTCAATCATGTGATTTCTATATTCTGAATCCAGATACCACATATTATTTTTTTCAGTGTTCGACTGAGTGTTCACCAACAACAACACATCATCATAGTCACTACTTCCAGCTCGTGCATATTGAGCTTCATCACTATCTTTCGATTTTGCAGCTTTCTTTCTTCGACAATCTCTAGCATAGTGGCCAAAACCTTGACGATTGTAACATTTCACCTCTTTCGTGTCAACTTTCTTCTCAAAATACTTGTTGCTCACACCTTTCGAATCAGTATTCTTGCTTGACTTCTCATCACCAGCAAGATTCTTTTGCTGCTTCGACTTCTCTTTTCTAGCTTTCTTGCTGAATCTTGATTGTAATGCTTGTTCAACTGCTTTCTCCCTTTCTGAGTTTCTTTGCTGCAACCTCATTTCATGAGCCTCCAAAGAAGCTTGAAGTTCTTCCAACTTCATCTCAGATAGATTCTTGGCCTCTTCGATTGTTACAACAAAGTAATCAAAATCTGCAATTAGAGATCTCAATACCTTTTCTATCTTTTACAAATCCGTTAGCGCTTCACCACACGCCTTCATTTGGTTTGTTAGCGTCATTACTCTTGAGAAATATGCAGAGATAAATTCATCCTCTTTCCTCCGCAGCATCTCATACTGCTTTCTCAAAGTCTGCAACTTCACTTTCTTCAATTTCTCATCTCCACCATACAAGGACTTCAGCTTTTCCCGAGCTCCTTTTGTTGTTTCTTCTTCGATTATCTTCTCAAATACATCACAATCCACACACTGGTGAATCAAGAACATCGTCTTGACATATTTCTTCCTCTGATCTTTGTGCGCAGCTGTCTAGGCTTCTGTAACATTCACTTCCAGTTGTGATATTCCTTCATTCAAGATTCCTACAACATCTTGAAATCTCAAAATAACCTTCATTTGTGCCACCCATCGTTGTTAGTTTTCACCTTTGAAAACTGGTAGGTTTTCTGGAAATTGTGTTGATGTTGTTGATTCTTTTGCCATTAGATTCACTCTAAATCGCAAACAAACTCTGATACCAATTTGTTGGAACAAAAGATTTAAGAAAGATGAATATTGTGAAAAACAAAGAAGAAGAAGAAGAAGAAGAAGAGAGAGAGAGAGAGAGAGAGAGAGAGAGAGAGAGAGAGAGAGAGAGAGAGAGAGAGAGAGAGAGAGAGAGAGAGAGAGAGAGAGAGAGAGAGAGAGAGAGAGAGAGAGAATTGAGTTAGTTAAGTGTAACTAACTCTGAACTGAATTCAATTATTATTGTTGCTTACTATTACAAACACAATGGCCCTTTATATAGACAAAATAGCCCATGCCTAAATACATACTAAAAAGCTCAAATAACCACATAACAAAAATTAACCAACTAACAATGTTTCGCATAACTATAACTGATCTGACTTAAAGAGACAAAATAATATATCTTTTTGAAATCAAATTAACATGTATATTTATTGCAGATTAATTACACTAATGTGTTTATATTGTTAAGGTAGATTGACGTGTGTCAATAAAGATTTTATTTTTTACTGGTCAAAATTTGTTTATTATATTTTGTTTTTATTTTGCTTTAGCAATTCAAATATTTGCAATAAATAATTACATAAAATATTGTATAAAAGTTATACAACAGTGTTTTACTAATAATATGCTTTCTATTTTAAATTATAAGTCATTTTACATATAAAAAAATTGTATTCTACATTTTATAGTTTTTTAATATATATTATTTTCTCTTTTCTTTTCATTCTATTAATTTTAATTTGTCATAATATTTTTGAAAGATACTTTTTTGAAAGCAATTATAGAAATTATAATTTTTTATTTAAAAAATTATATGTATTTTTAATTTGTGTGAAATGAACCGATGATCTATAATTTAAAATAGATGTAGTATATTTGAGAAATTGAATGTGTGTTTGTAAAAAAAGCTACAAAGTATGTAGATGGTAAGTGATATTAAAATAATTGATGAAGAAAACTAAGAAAGGTTAATTCAAAAATTATTTTAAAGAAAAACAAAAAGTACACTTTTTATTACTTATTATTAGTTAATTTTAATGTTTTAAATTTATTGAATAAGAAGTATATCAAATTTATATATTAATTAGATTCATTGATTATTGAATATATTTAAAAAATTTATATTTATTTATAATAAAAAATGAAAATATGAAGAAAAAAATAATGTATTCAATTCATATCCTTGACCTCATAAATTTTATTTTAATTAAATTATTATACCATTTTATTTGTTATGAACATTTGTCTATAAATAAGAAATGCACTAAAGTCCAATCTATCATAATTAATTCATCCCTAAAAGAAAATGTCAAAAATGATACAGATACTGTTATTAGTTATGTGTCTGGTGGCAACTATTACTGGCCACAGAGATCATGGTATGCAGAGTGTGTTGAAAGAAGATTTGGAATTGGAGAGGCAACTAAACATCCTTAACAAGCCTCCTATAAAGAGTATTCATGTATTTTTCACATGATTTATTGGAGGTTTCAATTGGTTCTATTTGACATTTTTTTCTAACAAATTTATTTTATTTATTTTGGTGACTTTCATAGACAAAGTCAGGATATATAGTTGATTGTGTTGATATTAACAAACAACCAGCTTTTGATCATCCTTTATTAAAAAATCACAAATTACAGGTAAAATAATTTAGTCTATATTACTTTTAATTTATATTTTATGACTTGTAAAAATTGTTTGAATCTTCATTGTTGTTTTTTTTGTTGCAGAGAAAACCAATTTTTGAAAGAAACATCAGTGAAATTAGAGTTCAAAATTTACCCATCAAACCGATATCCATATTTGAGAAAGTTAGATGTCCGGAAAGAACCGTTCCTATTCGGAGAACAACAAAAAATGATTTAATTAAAAAAAAATCTTTATTCAATGCTTATAATCTATCTCAAAATGGATCCATTAATCATGTAAGTTTTTTCATATATATTTATATATTAATTTATTTATATAATTAACATATATTATCTTTTTTAATGAATATGTGAATCTATTAAAACTGAAATTGTAGTTCGCTCGTTTGTATCTTTCAATAAGGGGTTCTCCTTATTATGGAGTTAGTGGAATTACTAGTGTTTGGAATCCAAATATTTATAAAGGTCAATCAAGTGCAGGTCATTTATATTTTAAAAGAGGAAAAGGAGATGATATTGATAAAATTTCGGTCGGATGGCATGTGAGTTTAAATTTGTTCTATAATTTTAATTTTTGTTTATTCTAAAAATATGTATATATGTATAAATATAAATTTGAAGACTTGTGAATTATTTTGTGATTTATTTCATATTTGATGTTAGGTGTTTCCGGAATTATATAATGATAATCAAACACATTTATACTTATTTTGGACGGTAAGTAAAGAGTTATATATTATTTAATATTTAATTATTAATAATTTTATATAACTGACATAAATTTTTATGAATAATTTTATTATTGTTGTCAATATTTTTTATATTTTATTAATCTCAATTTATATGTTATTTAGTTAGAAAATCAAAATACTTGTTTTTCAAAACATAACACGGTATTAAAAAACCACAGTCAGGTAAAAATGGATGCTTTAATATGTTATGTAAGGGTTTCATTCAAGTTGACAGATCATACATTTTTGGTGCACGTGTATCTAAAACATCTACTTATGGCGGAGAGATAATGGAAGTGGCACTTCAAATTTCAAAGGTAAACTCATCTCTTTACATATATTTAAATTTATAAATTATGTAATGTCACTTTTCAAGTTGTAATGCTATCAAGTGTTGAAGTTCAAAGAGATGCTATATAAAATATTATAGATTATATACATCTTAAATGATATTATATTCTTTTAATTTAATCATAAGCTTTTGAGTTAATACAATTCTAATAGTAAAATATTAAAATATTGTGGTGTTCAGGATAATGTAGGCAATTGGTGGTTAAAAGTGCTAAATAAGAATATTGGATACTTTCCTGCAGCTTTATTCTCCTCATTGAAAGGAGCTGATCAAGTGGGATTTGGTGGTTATACTGTGACTCCTGCGGGTACTGATAGCCCTACAATGGGCTCCGGACACAAACCTGATGGTGACTTCACTCATGCATCTTATTTTAGGTTTGTAAAACATTTGAATATAGTTCAAGAACCTGATGATCCTCTACCATTTATGGTAGAAATAGACAATGATGCTCCTAATTGCTATGGAGTTACGAACTATGAAGGCAAAAAAAGACATATGGGATATTCTCTTCAATTTGGAGGATCGGGTGGTAAATGTTAATACTTAATTATAGTGAACAAATTTATATGTAATAAAGAATTCTAATAATATGTGGCCAATATAATTTGTCTTTTTTAATTAAATATTTTTAAAAATTTGAATTTTAAAAGTTTTTAAAGGAGTTTTATGGTCTAATAATATAAAATAAAATAAAAAATACCATTGTTTTATAAGTTAGCAATAAAACATAGGATAATATTTGAAGGAATCTTTGATTTATCTACAAATTTTAATGTTCAACTTAATATCAAAAATTATTTATTCTTTTAGTATCAGTTAAGAAAGTACACGCGAGATTACTATTTTAATCATCAATAATTCCTTTCAAGCATCTTTTATATCATGTTTCACAATCAGTTTTGTTAAATTGTAATTCAATGTGTCGAAACTATGTGTCGAAAAGATTTGATTTGTTTTATATTTAAATAGATTTGATTTAAGTCTAGAATAAATTAGATTTGATTTAGTAACAAAAAGATATTTTGGGTTTTGGGCTTAGGGTGTAAGCTCAGTTATAAATAGAGGGAGTAACCCTATTTTTGTAAGCAAGTCAAGCAAGTCAAGCAAGTCATTCACAGTATTTTGCAGTTGCAAAGTGAATAATAAAGTTTTCACAGTTTGTGAGCAGAGAGAAACTCTGTAGAAATTATTTGTCTTGTCTTCTTTTCTTTGTTTGTCTCATAATTAAATTGTCATTGTGGTAGAAATTCATCATAGTCTTTTGGTGGATTTCCAACATCTGGTATCAAGAGCTTTGTTTCGATTCAAGGGAAGTGTCTATCAAGAACGATTGAAGAATTCACGATGACAAGTTATAGGAATGCAAATTATCCAGCAACCCTACCAATTCTGAAAGTTGACAACTATGAGAATTGGTGCAAACAGATAAAAGTCTTATTCAGGTGTCAAGGTCTTTGGGACCTTGTAAAAGATGGAGTCGAAGCGCTTGGAGAAAACGCTTCAGAAGAAGAAAAGAAGAAACACGTAGAATCAGAGAAGCGGAGTTATAAAGCATTATTTATAATTCATCAATGTGGCAGCCCATACAATTTCGAAAAGGTTAGTGATTCAGAATCTGCAAAAGAAGCTTGGGAAATCCTTGAGAAGTCTTTTGGAGGCGCTGAGAAAGTGAAAGAAGTGAGGTTACAAACTCACAAAAGGACCTATGAACTGCTTCAAATGGAAGACAGTGAAAGCATATCTGATTTCTTCACTAGAGTTACAAAACTAGTAAATCAAATCAAGATATGTGGAGAAGCATTAACAACAAGAGTTATTGTGTCGAAGATCTTGAGATCTTTAGCTCCTAAGTTCGACCACATAGTGGTGGTGATAGAAGAGGGGAAAGACTTGTCTAAATTGACAAAGGAAGAGCTTCATGGGACGCTTGAATCTCATGAACAAAGAATGAACGAAAGAGCTGCAGGAAAATCGAAGAGTGATGTGGCCTTGCAGGCACATTCAGCAAAAGAGACCAAAGGCAAAGGAAAGTGTTTCGACAGAGGTAGAGGTGGCTACAACAAATCGAATGGTAGAGAAAACCAGATTGAAGGAAACGTGTCGAATCAAAGAAGACCATACCAAGGAAACCAAAGAGGTGGTGTTGCAAATAGAGGAAGAGGTGGTGGTCGAAAACCTGATAAGAGTCACATTCAATGTTATAATTGTTAAAAGTATGGTCACTATTCAAGTGATTGTCCAGAAAAACGAAAGAATCAAGAAAGTGATGCAAAGCTTGCAAAACATGAAGAAGAAAAAGAGATGATGTTGATGGTTACAACAAGAGATGAAGATAGATTCAAGGACCAATGGTACTTGGATTCAGGATGTTCATCACATATGTTTGGAAGGAAAGACTGGTTCGTCAATATAAAACCCTCAATGAAAAATATGGTAAAATTTGCAAATGACAATACCCTAGCAGTTAAAGGTATTGGTGATGTTATGATCATGAGGAAAGATGGCAAAAGGTCAGTAATCTCCAATGTGTTGTACATACCAGGCATGAAGAGCAATTTTCTCAGTATATGCAGTTGGTCGAAAATAATTATAAAGTGTCAATCGAAGATAAGATGATGAGAGTCGTTGATGCAAATGGGAGATTAATCTCGAAGGCTCCTATGTCTCAGAATAGAACCTTCAAGATTGAACTAAATGTGATGGAGCACAAGTGCCTTTCGAATGCAGCTAGCAGAGATGAATGGATATGGCATCATAGACTAGGCCATCTCAACTTCAGAGACATCAGAGATTTGAAGAGAAGAAATATGGTTTCAGGATTTCCAGAAATTGACATTCCAAACGAGGTATGTGAGGAATGTGTGCATGCGAAGCAACACAAGAATAGCTTCAGCAAGGATGCAGGAAGCAGATCGAAGGCTAGTCTTGAAGTCATATACTCTGATGTATGTGGACCAATCCAGGTGGATTCGATGGGAGGTAACAAATACTTTGTTACATTCATAGATGATTTCAGTCGAAAGCTATGGACTTACCTGATCAAGAAGAAAAGTGAAGTGATCGAAGTATTTACCAAGTTTAAGTCTATGGTCGAAAGACAAAGTGGTAGAAAGCTCAAAGTTTTAAGAACTGATGGTGGTGGAGAATATGTGTCGAAAGACTTCGACAGATTATGTGAAAAGGAAGGGATTATGCATGAGGTGGTGCCACCCTATACTCTACAACAAAATGAAATTGCAGAAAGGAAAAATCGAACCATCATGAATATGGTGAGAAGTATGTTGAAAGGCAAGAATTTACCTAAAGAGTTTTGGGGTGAAGTTGTTTCGACTGCAACATACATTTTGAACAGATGTCCTACAAAGAAGCTAGAAGGAATTACTCCAGAAGAATGTTGGTCTGGTGTGAAGCCTAGCTTGAGTCATCTAAAGGTATTTGGATCTATTGCATATAGACATGTTCCAGATCAGTTGAGAAGAAAACTTGATGATAAGTCAAGTCAAATGATTCTAGTTGGATATCATTCGACAAGAGGCTACAAGTTGTTCGATCTAGTGAAAAAGCAGATTGTGATCAGCAGGGACGTGATCATAGATGAGTTTAAAGAATGGGATTGGACTGAAAATATCAAGAAAGATTCAGTGGGAATCCTTCTTGAAAAATACATATTTTTTACTTCAATTGTGTTTTTTGGTAGGTGATGGTTACGTTAAACACTATTCTTAGGGAGTTTACAGAATTTTGTGCACTTATGAAGAAGGGGATGAAGGGTGTGGATTTTGACTATAAGAATGGTGAATTTTACACAAGTTTTTATGATGAGGTAAATGCATTTATTTGCTAAGTAAATTTTAATACTTATTTTTTATTGCTTATTCTCAAAGTGTCATAAATTTGCAAGAGACAACTATAATGCTGCATAATAGGTTCAGATATGTTACAAGTAATTTTGAGATCTTGAAAAAGTTGTTTAATGAAATATATGAAGCATCGGAACCTTCTAAATCTAAGAAAAGGAAATCAACAACTGGGACAAGTGGAAGAAGCAAAAAGTCCAAATCCTTAGACTCAGTGAGTAATCAATATTCGAGGAAAATGATTACTTTGAAAAATAAAATTATAAGAGAAATTAGATGTTTTGACGAAGAATATATTGGCAAGTTTATACTTTCGCATTTTGTAGACGATAATAAATGCGATGAATTTTTGGGTTATGATAAACAAAACTTGAAAACCGAAATTTTCCGTCTAGTTCAAGATATCTAAATGCTGTAGATGTCTGGATTTTTCATTACCTATCTTATTCTGAAATGCTTTACGTTAAGATGTCACAATTATGTGTAAGTTTCTAATTATATTAATATATATTTTATTGATGAAGATATATTATGTGTGTTAAAATTAATGTGTTGTAACCACCACTATCTTTAGTAAGCATTATGTGAGAAAACCTATTTGTATTCTCTATCAGTTTCCTTCAAGCCTATATAAAGGCTTTGTAATGCTAAGTTGAAAGCAACAAGTATGTGGTGAATTCAATAAAAACAGAGTTTTTCAATGGTCATCCACTAGTAGAAGTATAGTGCAAAAAGTGACAAAAATTAGAGTCCTAAGCTATTACACGTCATGGGGAGAGGGGTACATAGTTTAATCAGGGAGTGTGGGAATAGTAAAGCGGAAAAATAAACCTAGATTAAACTATTACAAAAAAAAACCGGCAACCTATACAGTGTCTCTAGAATTTAAATGCGGAAATTAAATTGCATAATTATTTGAATACAAAGATGTATAGGATAATCGGAGAATGAGAATCGGGAGAAGAAACGAGGGTTGAAAGCAACGTTTAAAAACCAAAATCGAAAGTAAAACGAGTTATTTTAACCTAATCGTCAATTATGTACAAGTTTAGAAAAAATAATCGGACGATTGGTGAACTCTGATTTAATTAATTAATTGATTTTGGAATTAAAACTAATTTAACCTAGATTAAACCAATTAAAACCTAATTAACTAATTAAACTAAATTAGTGAAAATAATAAAAGAAATTAAATTAATTAAAACTAATTTTATAAATTAATTAGTCTAATTTGTTATTAAGTTAATTATATTGTTATTCTAAATTAAACTTAAATTAGTTATTAAGTTAAGTTAATTAATAATTAGTTAGTAATTTAAATGAAAAAAATAGGAAAAAGGCTAAAGTCAATTTGGTCACTCAGAAACCCTAATTGGTCAACAATCAACCATAAGGGCAAAATGGTCATTTTGCAAGTGAAAGTCAAGAATTTTTGTCAACTTCATCATTTTGAGACTATATTCATCATTTGATCAAGCCTTGATAATGACTCATCAAGAATAGCTCAAAAATGTTCAAGATGTTAGAGTTTCCAATTTTGGACAGTCAAAAGTCAACTGTACTTTGACCAAATCACAACTTCTTCATACTTTTTCAGAAAAATTTCCATTAGTGATCATTTTGAAGGAAATTCATTTTGAAGGAAATTCAAAAACACCTTGTGGGTCAAAGGCCATAACTTGA